GAGCCCTCTTCTTCTGCAGATACGACCATACTGATATCAGCACTTCCTATCAACGTCACAAAATGGAACTCCTCGTTGGTGGTCCATGAAGGAATCCAGGGAGCCTGTGAGAAGGAATAACCACTGGCTGTTATTCATGCAACAGTATGGGTTTTTGCAAAGTGAAGAGGGGTTTGCACAGGAAATGACTAGATGAATTTCTCAGTAAAACTGAGAGCCAATGAGTGCAGTGCTCTTATATGGGAAAGCTGGCTGGCTCTTGCAAACTCATAATGCTTAACCCCTGCCTGCACATACAGAGAAGGAACTTGCGGCTTTCAAGAGCCTGCTGCGATGCAATGGCAGGCTGGTCTGACTTGGAAAGGCGCTAGAGCCCAGGGTTTGGTTCTGAGGTTTGTCACAAGGCTCCTCAAGCAGCCCCACGACACATGGGAACCCCTGAGGGCAACTCTTCCGCCCCAAGTTGTTTCTCCTCACACAGTCACATGCCCTGATAAGAGGCGGTGCAAACCATGGCCAGAACACAGTATGGGGTGCTCAGGAGCTCAGGAGATTGTATGAACAGCCCCAGTTCCTGAAGACCATGGCCACTAGATACTTGCTGTTAGTGCCCAATTAGGGGGTTGATTCTCTAGAGAAGTGCAAGTCTCAGAAAAGCTACTTCTGAGAGAATGACAGGATATCTCCACAGTTACTTGAAGCCGAGTCCATGCTTGCACACTAACAACCCTCACCCCCTCCCTAAACAGGACCCGTGGGAAACAGAGAATCTCAGCCCACATCAAGTGATTTTCTGAGCTTTTTATCTCATACTCCTAAAAAAATGAAGGCAGCGCGACCATTATTTCCAGCAGCCTGGTGTGCAGAGTAATGTAATTCAGCACTTAGTCTCAATGACATTTCACAGCACATCATCTACATGGAGCATTGCTCATCTGTATTCTGTAGAGCACTGATGATTCAAAGTCGTGTATGTGACCCGGAGCTCAAGAAGAAAAGCTCATTAAGTAATAAAATGGTCTAAACCTCTCCTGATCACCAGCTGGATAGTAAGGGCACATTCTACAAGAAGTTTCCAAAGCTCAGACACTTATAGGTCTAAAAAAGAAAAAAAAAAAAAAAAAAAGCATTAGGAAGCAGTAAGTGCCACATCATGAGAATGGCCATGAAGGCAACATGCTGAACTCTGGTTGTGGGTTTCTTCTTCCAAACACCACCAGCTCAAAGAGAAGAGCAATCCTCATCTGGCAGCACTGCAGGATGACGTGGGGCTCTGTGGAATGTGCCCATCACCTTTAGAAACATTCCCAGGAAGCCTCTACTTTGAATCAGATGCAAGCTGCATCTTCCTTTAAGCATTCCCAGTAAATAGCAGGGCACCTTTTTCTCTTTGATGGCTTTGGATGAAAACAAAAGCTTATTTCCCAGATTTCTCTGTGCCAAAATTAAAACAATACAGTAACAATACAAAGCTGCTTTCTCTTTCCATGCTTAATGATTTATTGGGAGCCACAGCATAGCCAATGAACAGGCATATGCAGAGAAATACAAGACCAGGTCTTGTCTCCACTCCCCTTCACCCCAGCCTTGCACAAAGTCAATTCACTTTGCTTTAGTGATATTACTTTTAATTTACTATGGTATCAGCAGAAGAGAATCAGGCCCAATTTAGCTGAGACTAATGGGCTCAAATCCACTTGGGCTTTCCCTCCAGGCCTTCACAGGAGGGAGTTCACCTTCTAAAGGATCAGATCAGCCCACAGAAGTGCATCCTAACAGATTTCTTTCTGTGCATCTGGTTTTAATAGCTTACACAGAGGAAGGAGAATGTGCAGCTTGCTGGGAAAGGAATTACTGCCAGCTGAGAGGTCACCACAGCAAAATAGAAACAAAGCTGCTGGGAGAACACATCAACATTGCTATGCAGGCACACATGCGCACACTGTCACAGAGAGTGCACTACAGTAAACACCAGCATTTTCATTTCAGAGAAAGGCAGAAAAACTACAAGACCCACCCGAAACTGTATTTGTCAGCGAGAGAACATTCAGAGACCAGTAATGGGATTATGTCACTGTTGTGCAGCTGCCAGCTGAGCTGGTGGTGATGCTTTAAAAGGATCTTGCCACCAATAATTAAAATCCTGAGAGCTGCCAGGGCTCAGAGGAAAGGGATCCAAAGCAGCACACGAAGAGGATAAAAGGAACAATTTAATAGCACCAAAATGCAAACCAGCATTTTCAGAAGCAACATGTGATCCTCCTGCTGTTTTAAGCTATTATTCAGGGGGATAAGGCAGAACCTTGCGGTAGCTCAGTATTTATTATACTGATGAAGATGAGTCAGAAGTGTCTTAGAGTTCCCAAGTTACATCTGACAAGAGAATCATATTCTGGGGAAGCCTTAAATCCAGAAATAGAAAGAAATTCCATAATGAAATGTATCCTCTGATATAGAGGATAGATGATGCACAGAAACTCGTGACAAACAGGAAAAACAAATGACAATGAATCTGCATAAATAGCAGGCAACAGCAAGCATGAGGAAAACAGCTTTCTAAAAAGCTAATAAGCACTATTTCCTAAAATAGATTTTCTCTGTTCACTTAAGTACTCACTCTACCATATATTTAAAAATGTAATACTCTTGTGATTAATACCATGTTCTTTGTATGCTGTAACCAGAAAACTGAAGTCACCTACCTGTACCTGCAGATCAAATACACTGATCTGTAGCTCCTCTGTAGTGGTAGGCAACTCAAAATCGTCTTGACAGGAAGAGGGAAGACAACCTGTACTAGCAGCATGCAGGGTGGACTGTTAAAACTTTCTCCACAACAACTGGTAGGCCAGTACTTATTCAAACCTCGCAAGGGTCGCAGGGCAAAAGGGAACACTTTATTTTAAATATGCATTATCCTCAGATGTGGGAAAATACAAAATACTTTTGCACAGGCTATACAACTATTATAACCCCTTCACTGAAGTGAATTTTAACGAATTTTAGTTTGATGCACTAGTTTTTTAATGAATTTTAGTTTGATTTGTTATAGTTACACAGACGGAGCCTCCTACCTTTAGGTGGAGCAACTGATGTCCCATCTAAAATCCAGGCATTCTTGCATATAGTTCTGTGCCAGAACTTCATTGATGGCCTCAGGGACTCAATTTAAATGATAATACTTCAGTAACTACTAACCTTACATCATAGTATTTAAAGGCTATCTATATATTTGTCAGGCTTTTAAAGGGATCACCCACTTCTCATGTTCCATAAACGGAAGGATATCCCCTCCCATGTGATCACAGCCTGAACTACTGCATTTCTATATAACAACAGTGACATCCCGTGGTCATTAAAGAAACCTTCTGAATTCCCCGTGCTTTAGGAAAAAAAGCCTCTAGGTTTTTTTAGGAAAATTCAAATAACCGAAAGGAGCTGTAAGCATACGCTTGTGGGAACTAAAGTCACTGACTCTTCATATCAAGTTATCAGGGATTTGTCTAGTTAATACTGCAGTCAATACTGCAAACTTGAATATCCAACTGCTTCTCACCTTCTGCTAGCTGTTAATGCAGCAGACCATTAAGCATATATCCCCCCAAAACAGTGAAACAGCATTGTGCAATTTCTTAAAATAGATGGGTACATCCTAAGCTGCTCCTAGAGCTGCTAAACCCCATCTGTGCAAGGCTTATTTCCTCAGGTGCAATATGCCACCAAAGCAGCATCCACGTGCAAGCCACTTATAAACCCTCTACACTAACAGGAGCACCAGGAAACACCAGCAGAGGCAATGGCTCCACACATATCGATCTTGTATTGAAATTTTGCTAGCCCCAAAAATACTCCAGGCAAAGCCAAGCACCTCTAAAATTGTCAAGTAACCTAGGTTCTGCAGAAAATTTCATCAACACTTCTGCTTCAGGTTGCTCAGAGAGGTTGTGGAGCCTCATTCTCTACAGATACTCAAAGTGTGCTCTAGGTGACCTTCTTGTGCAAAAGGATTGGACTAGATGTCCAGTAAGTCCCTTCCAAACTGAATTCTGATTCTCTGACAGGTCAGATTCAGGAATCAACATAGAAAGGAGAATCTACTGTTTACAGACTTATATTTAAGTCCCCCAAAAGATCAACTGCACCCATAGCCCAAGTAATTGTAATCATAAATGTAACTGGCAGCTTGTTAATAACAAGTTATTAAAAACTTCTCAAGTGACCACTGAACTGAGACAGCAAAGCAGGACAAAAAAAAGGCTTTTTTTTTTTTTTAAACCCCACCGGATAAGAACAGGTCAGAGCTCTCCATCTTGCAGCATTACAAGTTAACAACTCAGCTTTTTCTTAAAACTATCATTTAACTAACAAACCCATTACATTTCAGTCACTTATCACCACCATTCAGTACTTAAGACAGAAATGGAGGCAGGCATTACTGCATTTTTCTAGACTGCCTGTTGTACATAACCACACCAATGCTGAAAATATTCATCTCCAGTAATCAAGTACTTCCCCAGCTCATAACCCCTTGAGTCAAGCAGTAGCCTCATGCCACAAGATCTTTTTTTCCCCAATTTGCTTACAACTTTACCTGCAATAAATAATTTTTGAACGGTGAGTTTGGAAAGATGTATCCTCCAGGAAGGTGGCAAGCATTTCTTCTATACACTTCTCCCCATTAAATTTAACCAATTTAAAGGAGGCAATCTGAAAGCCAAAAACACCATGTTGATGGACATACTTAAGCCATATTTGCTTGTCCTGATTGTGGCTTTCTAGACTGTTTGATCAAAGTGTCCCACCCTAGCTGGAAATAAAAATCTTTCTTCTTAAACTCTGGTAACAGAGTAATTACTGTTTCAATTAAGGCATTAATCCATGGCTCCTACCCACAATATCCTCATTATCCAACAAAAGAGGATTACAGAGCCATAGAAAAGAGGCAATCACATCATTGAAATATACTAGCTTTACTAACTAGAAATCAGACAGACTACAAATTGATGTGCAACATAAACTTTATTAGCATTTAAACAGACAGTTCAGCAGTTACTTAAGCTTGCATTAACCTTGCATTTAACTTAGTATTAAGACATTAAAGGACTACAGTGCAAAAACAAATGCTATTGGCAATCTTATAGAGCAAGACACACAATATCTAGAAGCCACCCCTCAGGCGCAGCACCAGGTGCAGGGTGGATTCCTTCTGGATGTTGTAGTCAGACAGGGTGCGCCCATCTTCCAGCTGCTTGCCAGCAAA